GACAGCCATTCAAGGTGGCCTTTGCTTGCTGCGGTGTGGATGGCTCCTTACTGAAGCCCATGTCATTCGCGACAACTAGGTCCATACCAGTCATCTCACCAGGCTTGGACGCCTGGGTGGACAGATTGGTGGCTGCGAAGCTTACCGATAGGCCCCTAAGTAGTTCGTTTTTGTGGTTTATTTAGAATCTTATAAGGTAATCCCCAAAGGGAAGTACTTAGGGGCCTATGGGTAACCATGGCTTCAAAACGCAGGATGCGGCTCCAGTCTTCCACGCAACAGATTCTTATGCCAAGCATCGCCCCCGACTGCTCACATGGTACAAGAAACAGTTCCAAGCACTCGACGCCGAAAGCAGATGCTACTGGGGTGGTGGGTGGGGAACCCTAAACCCTCAACCCTAAACCCTAAACTCTAGAAGCCCCCAACCTGTCACCCGTTGTAGGAGAGCGCTCCCAGAGCACCAGTCTCCAGTGAATCGCCGTAAGCCTAAGCTGTCTTCGCGCGCCTCACAGGAGACCTACGAATACTTGGGTTCCTATCATAAAGCCTTAGAGCTAGCACTACTGTTGATGATAAAAATCCTGCACTGCGTCGCAGACCCTAAAGTATGGGAATTTTTGTTGTGGGTAATGCAGGATTTATATCATCACCCGTATGGATACTTTGGTTCCTACCACAGGAGCCCTACAGCCCGAAAACCTAGCACTAAGCAAATGCGACCCCAAGCTGCCCTTTGACACAGCTCTTATGGCGTAAACCCAAGACTACGGTTGATGATATAAACCCTGCACTACCCATAATAAGGAACATACCATAATTCCCATAGTGTAGGGTGTTAAAGGTAATGTAGGACTTATATCACCAACAGTAATGCACTTGATACTCCTACGTAGCCTAAACCCTAAACCCCTACACCCTAAACCCCTAAACCCCTAAACCCTAAACCCTAAACCCTATAAACCCTAAACCCCAAAAACCCCAATCCCTAAACCCAACCCCAAAGCCCAGCCACCAAAACCCTGGGGACCCTAAACCCCTACACCCGCAACGCCTCAGCCAATCCGAAGGCAGCAGCTCACAAATGGCATCGGGCTAGCGGCAACTGGTGGCCTGGCAATATAGCCTTACCCAAGGCTCAAAATAGCCCAAAAGCCCTGCATAGTATGGTCTTTGGGCCCAAAAGCCTTACCTAAACCCTAAACCCTAAACCCCTAAACCCTAAACCCTAAACCTTAGGTTTGGGCTTAGGGTTTAGGGTCCATGCGCCTTGGAGGGTTCGACTTTAATTTAAGGCTTCCTCCAAGGGTACCACAAGGGTTCTACAAGGGTTCTATGAGGCTTAGGGAAGAAGGCTCCATGTGCCCATACAGTATGTTGGCCCTTTAAGTACCTGTATATTATATATATATAAAATATACACACACATACATACATATTCATATTTAGACTTATATTTCAACTAAGTTCTATTCTATTATGTTCTATTCCCTTCTCTTCTGTGTTATTGCTTACTCTCGCTCTCTCTCTCTATATATATATATACAGTACATATCTATCTATATAGTATGATGATACATACACATATATATATATGCATATATATATATATGTGTGTGTATATGTATATGTATATATGTATAGAGACATCGATAGATAGATAGGTGGGTGGGTGGGTAGGTAGGTAGAGGTATAGACTGTGTATGAATAAATACATAAGTATATATATATATGCAGTACACATGTACAACAATACTATATGGGTGCATGAACTCTCATAAAGCGTGTTTTTTAGCAAAGCCCATTAACGGAAATCTTAACAGGTACGCCGGACCCTTGGTGAACTTGGCACCTATTCGAGCGTAAACTCTGAATCCTCAGCTTCCCCTGGTAATATAGGTTTTAGGGTTCAGAAGGTTTAGGGTTTATAAGGTTTAGGTTTCATAGGGTTTAGGGTGTATAGGGTGTAGGGTTTAGGGTTTATAAAGTTTAGGGTTTATAAGGTTTAGGGCTTGTAGGGTTTATAGGGTTTAGGACTTATAGGGTTTATAGGGTTTAGGGTTTATAGGGTTTAGGGTCTAGGGTTTAGGGTTTATAGGGTTTAGGGTTTAGGCTTTATAGGGTTTAAAGGGTTTAGGACTTATAGGGTTTACAAAGTTTAGGGTTTATCGGGTTTAGGGTTTAGGTTTTATAGGGTTTATAGGGTTTATAGGGTTTAGTGTTTATAGGGTTTGGGGTTTATAAGGTTTAGGGTTTTTGGGTTTAGCGGTTTCGGGGCATCAGGAACTAGACGAGGTTTTGGCGGGGTAGCAAAACACCATGCATAGAAGGATTGTAAGGTGCCCTACGCAAGGGTCCTACTGTTGATGATATAAATCCTGCATTACCTTAAGGACCTTAAATGGTATATTCCTTACTATGGATAATGCAGGATTTCTATTATCACCCGTATCAAGTACAGCACTTAAATAACACTCTGAATCTGCAAGGCTGCTGAGAGTAAACACTTAAGCCAACACCTGCAAATGAAGCCTCAAGAGGGTGTCAAGATACACTGCTTTAGGGTTCAGGCTTTAGGGTTTAAGGGTTTAGGGTTTAGGGGTTTAGGGCTTAGGGTTTAGGGGCCCTGCAAAGTAGTTCGAGTCTTACTATAAGGACCCCCAAACAAATGAAGGAATCCGGGACTTCGAGCCCTTAACATACACCTCGTACGGGCGTCAACCCTAAACCCCCTAAACCCTTGTAGACCCCCTAATCCTTCGAGAAACAAAGACATGCTTAAAGAAATTCTCCAAAGAATCCTTAAAGGAGCCCACAGGGGAACCCGTAAAGGAGCCCTAAACGAACCCATGAAACTATGACGCTTGAAGAACCTCTGCAAGGAACCTTTGCACTTAATCCTGAAAGCAATCTTAGCAGGAACCAGGGGTTTAAGGCTTAGGGTTTCCCTAAACCCTAAACCCCTAAAGCCTAAAGCCTCAACCCTTAAACCTTAAAACCCGAAACCCTAAACCCCTAAACCCTAAACCCTGAATACAAAGAAGGCCCTAAACCCGAAACCTAAGGTACAAGATCCTGACGCTTTGTGACGAGGCCTGCCTAAAGCGCGCGAGCCCAAATCTTAGAGACGCCCCCGAAAGCCCGTCATTCACGGGGTTTAGGGTTTAGGGTCTAGGGGTCATTCAGGGCGGGTTCAGAGGGTTCAGGGGGTTCAGGGGGTTTCAGGGTTTATAGAACTTGAGCCCTAAACCCTAAACCCCTAAACCCTAAACCCCTAAACCCTAAACCCCTGAACCCTAAGCCCTAAACCCCTAAACCCTAAATTCCGTAGTGGCTATATACTGGTCAGGCATTGGATGTTTTTAGCTAGTTTTTTTTTTTTTGTGGGGCTCTCCGGGCTTCCAAACGCAAAAGGATTTTGAAGAGTTTCTTAGGTTTAGGGTTGATAGGGTTTTTAGGGTTTATAGGGTTTATAAGGTTTAGGGTTTAGGGCCGTTTAGGGTTTAGGGTGTAGGGTTTAGGGGCTTTGTGTCTAGGCTTTTGAGGGTTTAGGTTACAGCCTCGTGAAGGGCTTCTAGGCCATAAAGGCCCAGTTGCTTGTAACGTAGACCCTGCGACCCCTGATTACGAGGCCCCCTCAGCTTGGATATCTTGATACGAATTTGAAGCCAAGCTCTCTGCACTCGGGACCCGCAGGAGCCAAGCGGACAGCTAGACTTAACATCAAAGCCTTAAGACTTAAAGCCCTTGGATGCATAGATTCCAAACCCTACCGAGACCCTGAAACCTAAACCCGAAGCCTGGTAAACCCTATAAACCCTATAAACCTCTATAAACCTCTATAAGCCCTATAAACCTCTATAAACCCTATAAACCCTAAACCCAAAGGCCAGGGCGACTGTGTTGACTCCCCTCCCCCCCCCCCCCCCCCGCCTAAACCCTAAACCCTAAACCACAAAACAAAAAAAGCAAAAGGGTCCTACTGGACTTGCACCAAGGATGCAGAGTTGATGGTGCTCAGATGGACCGCCAACCTCTCCTGGGGAGCAGCTTTCCAGGCTCTCCACTTAAGTTAAAGGAAAGTTACAGGGTGGGGAGTTTAGGGCTTAGGGTTTAAAGGGCTCTTCTTGTAAGGACCCTGTTTAGGGGTTAGGGTTTAGGGTTTAGGGTTCATTTAAAGGAAACTACAGGTGGGGAGTTGAGGGTACTATAGGGCTTCTATAAAACTTCTATAAGGTATATAGACCTTCTATAAGGCTCCGACAACGGGAACTACCACCTGAGAATGTCCTAGATTAAGGCATCTCTCTCTCCCAGGGTTTCAAGGCTGGGCTTCGAGTTTAGGGGTTTAGGGTTTAGGGGTTCGGGGTTTAGCGGTTTAGGGGTTTAGGCTGTGCCCGACAGCATCTGACGAATCTTCTACGTAGAACCCTCATAGAAAAGAAGACCCTTGTAGAAGTCCATGCAATGGAAGCCGAGAATGACTAAAGCAGCAATTCTCTACATGGGTAGTTCTCTACATTAGGGTTCCCTTTTGGGTCATCCAAAAAAACTGGTACGGCACCCTTATCAAAAAAGACCCTAAAAAAGGGGGACGCGAATTTAGAGAACCACCCCCATTGCTTCCATGTCTGACCCGGGCACCAGTCGACACCATCCTCGCGTTGACCAGCTGCTTTTGTTGAGCAGCTCCTGGTGTAAGGTAGGCTTAGCGGTTTAGGGTGTGGGGTTTGGGGTGTAATATAGGCTTGAGGGTTTAGGGTCTGGGGTTCAGGGTTTGGGGTGTAAGGTGGGCTGAAGGGTTTAGGGTCTGGGGTTCAGGGTTTGGGGGGTAAGGTAGGCTTAAGGTCTCGGGTTGAGGGCTTAGGACGTAGGAGTGCTTGTAATCAGGATCCTTACTGGGTGACTGAAGCCTAAACCCCTTAACCCCTAAAGCCTGAGTTGGATCATTATTTAGCCGACTAAAATACCAATTTTGCAACTCCCTCCTGGGTTTGCTCGTGGAGGATCGGTGGACAAAGAATGACAACGCATCGGCACATCTCAATGTATGCTGGGATGCTGTGAATTGCCAGTTCCTGCTCACTCGGATGAGTAAAGCGAGTGCCAATTGGCCCGTGCATTCTTTGCGGGCAAGAGAAGAAATCGTACCAAACGAAAAGCGGCCTGGCTCTCATCTCAGTCATAAGAAGCCCATTTTGTAATCCATACATGAGCTCAGCCGAAACCGTCACCGGGATGATGTCCGTCTCACCGAGCATACGCATGAGCGCACCTTGCAGGACCTTCAACTGCTCCCCCTTTGGATCTGGATGATCGGTGCTAACCCATTCGTGCGACACAAAGAGTGCATTTCCTTTGTCCTGGGTCGTGGTCTAATGACACCAGCATGTTTCATGAATCAACTACACGTGGAAAGTGAGAGTCAACAAAAAACAAAAAAAGAACATGCCCTCAGCCTCAAGCACCCCATACAATCCCGAAGTCATGAGTGTAGGAAGGCCGGGGAAAAAACGCAACAACCCCCCCCCCCCCCTGGGGTGAGGCTCCGAAGCTCTAAGCCGTAAAGGCCCTAAATCCCACCGAGCAGCTCTTGAAAACTGGACCAATGCTCCCTCCTGGAGCAACTCCTCGTGGCACTTTACCCGAACCATCCGGAGCAGCTGGCCTACTGGCACCACGAACCTCAGCTCTGCTAGGTCCCCCAGTAACCTCTTAATAAGGGTACCCTTTTTCCCTATTATTCGGCTTTAATAAGGAGACCCCCAAATAAAAAGTAGTCTGTGTCTGCCTCTTAGTAGGATTTAGGGTTGAAGGGGTTAGGTCAGGGTTTAGGCTTTGGAGTTCAGGGATTTCTCTTCAGGGTTTGTGGGGTTTAGGGGTCCGAGGATTCCGCAAGAAGCGCACCAACAAGAGCATGAAAACCCAAGCCCCCTTGTAGAATCTTTCCGTCAAGCTACATGTAAACCCTAAAACCCCAAACCCTAAACCTCAAACCCTAAACCCTAAACCCAAGCGAGTTGGAGGGGGGAGGCGGTGTATACATGAAATTCTGGGTGCATAAAGCCCTGAAAGCCCCAAACATTAAGGGAAGCAACAGGTGGGGAGTTTAGGGTATATAGGGCTTCTATAAGGCGTTTGTAAGGTATATAGACCTTCTATAAGGCTCCTATAACGGTAACTACCCACCTGAAAATGTCCTCGAAAACACTAACCGCCCTAAACATCCAAAACACCCTATTCCTACATGCCCTAGAAGCCGTTACTACCCTAAAACACCCCTTAAGTTGCCCGAAACGCCCTAAATGCCTTTAAAAAGAAAACCCTAAAGCCTTTAAACACTCACACCCTAAACCCTAAACCACTAAACCCCTAAACACTAAACCCCTAAACTCTAAACCCCAAAACCCCTAAACCCCAAAACCCCAAAACCCCTGAGCCAAAGCCAAGGGACATCGGGAACCGAGGCTCCAAGGAAGGATTCGCTTCCGGAGGCGCGCTCCGCTGCAAACCTTCAGGGCTAGGGTTTAGGGGTTTAGGGCTTCAGGGTTTTAGGGTTTAGGGTGTAGGCTTTAGGGTTTTAGGGCTTCAGGGCTTAGGGTTTAGGGAAGAGGTTTAGGGCTTCAGGGTTTTGGGGTTTGGGGCTTGGGGTTCAGGATTTGTTTTTTGGAAGGTTCAGGGTCTAGGGTTTAGGGCTTGGGTTTCAGGGTTTAGGGTTTGGGGTTGAACGCTTAGGGTTCAGGGTTTAGGGTGCAGGGCTTAGGGTTTAGGGTTTCGGGTTCAGGGTTTAGGATTTAAGGCTCAGGGTTCAGGGCTCAGCTTAGGAGTCAGGATTTAGAAGTTTAGGATTTAGGGGTTAGCGTTTTGAAAAGGCTTAAGGCTAGTTGGGCTCCAGACCCCAAACCCCTAAACCCCTAAACCCCCAAACCCTAAATTCTAAACCCTAAAGCACAGAAACCCCTAACCCCTAAACCACAAGCCTCGTGCATACTCCTCCAAAGGAGTAGGAGGCTCTTGAATGCCACAGGAGAGCCATGGCATTGGTCTAAGCAAATAGGGAAGTCCTCCCTTCCGCCCCCCCCCCTTCGTGGGGAGCCCCCCTGTTTGGGGATCTGTGTAAAGAGAAGTCCGCTGTATGGAATTTAAGTTGGGTCAGGATCCCTTATTCGAGGGTCCTTGTCAAAGGATCTAGGCGAATCTAGGCTCTAGAGATGATGTTTTGCTGAAACTCCTAAATGTCTCAGAGCCTGAGTGCTGCAACATACCATCGTCACGAAGCTCGGCTTCCCCTGCCGCAGGAAAAAATTGAGAAAAAAATCAGAACATCCCTCAAGACTGAGTTTAGGGTAGAAGCCCTAAACCCTAAACCCTTTGGGGTGAAGGGAGGGTTTAGGCTTTGCATGGCTAAGCCCCAATCCTCCCCCCCCCTTCCTGGACCCGAGTACAGAGGTCGAAATGCTTACCGACACTATTCTGTTGGGTTCCTTCATAATGTAGGAACCTGATTAAGAAATCCTGGGTGTTTAGTGGTGTTCTTTATACGAACCCTACTATGTTGGGAATTAGAGGCCCAGGGTTTCTTGATCAGGTTCCTTCGTATGGTTCTGTTGTCATACACCCCCAAACCCTTTTCTGATTGTCAAGGCCCCTACACTATAGAAAGCGATAACTATTCTAGAGCCTTCGAACTAACTATGAAGGTCCCTACATAAAACCCCAAACCCAACTTACTCCGCCAGCCCCGACCTCAGTGAGAGGCGCCTGGAAAAGTTCGAGTAGTGCTTGCGGTTAGGGTTTATAGGGTTTGGAGTTTAAGCTAGTTTAAGGTTTAGAGTTTAGGGTTTAGGGCTAAAGGGTCGGGTTGAGACGGCTTGCGCCGAGATTCTTGGAGATTTCCATAAGGTTGGACAAGGCTTCCGTAGAGTTTAGGAGGTTTCCACCGTGGCCCTCAGTAGTTTCAAGAGGGTTTGGTGGACATGCTCCAGAACAAAATCGGGACATTTAGGATGTTTTGGGGTTTAGGGTTTAGGGTTGAGGGCTCCAGAAAGACAATGTACCCCCAAACACCACCCGGACATGCCCCGGACCCTTGTTGAGCACTGGAGGGCCTTTTTAAACTGCTACTACTGCGAGTAGTTCCATCTTAATCAGCTCCTAAGAACACTTCACTGCTGTTTTTGTACTGTCGCTACCACTGTTCTACTACTGTTGCTATTGCTACTTCGACCTCGTCTGTTACGACTACTTGGCCCGAGCATAATGGCATCTCCACCGCTGCCGAGGTGTTTCAAGCATCATGGTCGTTAAACCCACGCACCTCTGCCCACATGTCCACCGGATCGTCTTGATTCAGCTTCGTGTCCTGCGCAGGCAACGGCCTAAACTCAAAACCTGAACCCTTCATTCCCTAAGCCTAGATCCCAGTAGTGGCGGCTCCTTGCGCATCTTCTGCACCTGCAGCCAGAGCATGCCAGGACCCCACACCCGATAACCCCTACTTTTCGGCCTAGGCCTAGGAGTCCTGAATAAACAGTATACTACGGCCCGAAGCCCCAGTCAATCACTCCTTTCCAAAAATAGGGTTTTTCCTGACGCCCACGTATTGTTTCTCACTCGGTTCACGTTCCATTGAATTCTTCTGCTTCTTTAGGTTTATTCTACGGTTTCAAGGGCTCTGAATTTCACGGTTCCAAGTTAAACCCCTCAACCCAAAACTCTCAACCCGTAATTTCTCTTCCCCTACTGCAGGAAACAAACCCCTTCCTTACCCTTAACCCTCAACCACTGATCCTAAACCCTAAACTCCTAAAGCCAGGCAAAGGCTTCGGTCGGATTGGGCCGGCATTTCTGCGTGTGTGTGTGTGTGCGCGTG